TGTTATCTCTGAGAAGATTAATTAATTTGCAATGAAAAGCTCTTCCAAAAAAGTTTTTAAAACATTTACTTCTAAACAAAATACTGAAAGTTTAATAACTTAGGACCAACCAAAACATTACGGAAATAGTTAGCAGGGCTTCTAGGACTTTTATCAAGCCAGATATTATATTAACAAACACATCGGGGGGGGGGGGGGGTTTTTTAAGGGTTTTTTAAAAAAAGCACCAGGGTGGCCACAGTGTCATTTTAGAAATACTGAAAATGTAACTTCAGGATCAAAACATAAGTTCTTATTTCATTACTCAAATATGAATATGACAGGATTGCATTGTGTGTCTTGAAGAGGATCCATGTTAGAAAATGGTGGATGGGCCTCTCTAGACAGCAGCCCTACTTAGGCGTTAAGCCTGGAAATGTTCAAGGCTCAAACAGCAGTAGGGATGGTGGCACACACATGATCCATAGACGCTGTGTCTCCAGCCCAACTGCAAATCACACAGATCTTTGCATGTTCAATGTGAAGATATGCACAGGCACTACAAACACATTCAGGGCTGCAGCTGATGGAAACACTGTAAGCATATTCAGCTGAATACGCTTCTAATATCTATACTGACTAAACAAAGGCCTGTGTGGCTTCTGGGGCAGAGAGGAGGAGTGGGACTGTGTATATGCCCCCTTCCCCACCACCCTTTGAGCAGGTTCAGGGTTAATGCTGAGATAAAATGAGAAGAAAGGCAGTGTTTAAAGAGGGTTGGAATGAGTATTTTTAATATAGATAGATAGATAGATAGATAGATAGACAGACAGACAGACAGACAGACAGACAGATATAGATATAGATATAGATATAGATATAGATATAGATATAGATATAGATATAGATATAGATATAGATATAGATATAGATATAGATATAGATATAGATATAGATATAGATATAGATATAGATATAGATATAGATATAGATATAGATATAGATATAGATATAGATATAGATATAGATATAGATATAGATATAGATATAGATATAGATATAGATATAGATATAGATATAGATAGATAGATAATTATATTGAAACCACATTCTATCATTAGAAAAGTCTTTTTCACTATTGATCTACCGTATTTTTCGCTCCATAAGACGCACCTCTCCATAAGTTGCAACAAATTTTTATGAGAAGAAAACAGGGATTAATGTTTTCTTTTCCTAAAAATTTTGTGAGCCTTATGGAGAGGTCCATCTTATGGAACACACCCTAGCCCCCTCTGGCCCCATGGGGGGGTGGAGGGAGCCCCGCAAGGGTCCTGGAAGGCTCAATCGGACCCTTGGGAGGCTCCTTCGCCACCTTCGCTCCATAAGACGCACAGACTTCCCCCCCCACACACTTTTTGGGAGAAAGTGCTTCTTATGGAGCAAAAAATATGTATGTCTTTGAGGAAGATGTATCAAGAAAGCATCAAGGCACAAGACATTCCTAGATACGTATAGTACATAGAATGGCTAATGCTGTATTGAATTGTGTCCATGATATTTTATGGAAAGTGTAGAGTTGCACTAGACCTTAGAGTAGCCATCTTACTGATGCTGATTAAAAAGAGGGCTCAACTCATGATTCCATTGGGAGAACTCAAATTCTTACAGAGCAATGGCTGATGATATAATTGTTGTAGGCTGAATGCTTCATATGAAGGTTCCTAGAAAGCTTCAGGAGAAGATCCTTCAATGCAATATATACCAGTGAGCTAATATTAGAATGCATTTGGCTATTCAGGAAGAGCCATGGAATGTCACTGTTTATTTGCAAATATCTGGTATGAACATACTGTTTTGTCTGGGCTACACAGGGTAATAATAATGTGATCCAGTAGCTAGTTAGAAATAAGTTTGACTAAGATATAGTCTCAGTTAATTGTCAGACTGTGAATCTAACCATCATACCTTGCTAGTGGAACCCTAAAATGTGTGTATGTGACTGTATGTGTGTGTGTTTGCCCACACAAGCACACAGTTGCTATTTAAAGAACAAGTTTCTAACCTTGATGTTCATGGGAAGATATATATGGAAGTAATGTGTTGGATTTACAAAACAGAAAAAGCAAGGGAGTGGGTGGCATAGCTCAGTGGTTAAGGAATGGAACAGAAAAAACAAGAGCAGTTTTCATGAGCGAGTGAATGAATGAATGTTTGGCAATTAAAAATGGTAATACACCAGAACCATCAGGCATTTACTGAAGTGTATAAGCCAAGAATCAAAAACCTCAGAATGCCAGGTGTTGGATTTACAAAACAGAAAAAGCAAGGGAGTGGGTGGCATAGCTCAGTGGTTAAGGAATGGAACAGAAAAAACAAGAGCAGTTTTCATGAGCGAGTGAATGAATGAATGTTTGGCAATTAAAAATGGTAATACACCAGAACCATCAGGCATTTACTGAAGTGTATAAGCCAAGAATCAAAAACCTCAGAATGCCAGTGATGATGATGATGGTTATTATTA